GAAAATTTTCAAACTCTATTTGAAATTTGTCAACTAAGCAATTCAAACGAGAAAATATGAATATTGATTGATCATATTTAACTTTGAGATCATTCAAATTATCATTGTAGATCATTTATACACAGCTGCGAAAATTTTGAATAAAAACAAAACTTTATATGTGTAAGTATCAATTAATAATAAAGTTGTTTGAGATGAGTTCAATCAGTCTAATAACAGTAAATTATATTTTAAGTAAGAAAGTAATGAAGAAGCTCAATTAAAGTGCATAAAATTATTTCAGACAATCAAAAAAAAATAACGAAGCTAATAATTTATTTGAATTCAAAGGAAGCTAAAAATTATTTTTAAAAACATTTCAATAAATCTGCAAAAACGTTTAGCTTTATAAACTCAGAAGTTTAATCCACAGAATGTTTTACAGTGTTTATTGTCATTTAGCACTGTAATTTCCTTTCAAAATACCCATAGCCTAAAATTTTTAAAAATAAAGCTTAGTGATTGTAAAACTTGAAGGCGCGAAAGATGAAAGATTGTGCAACATGATTTTATAAACAGCACTGAACAAATTGAAATAGTTATGGAGTAATTTTTTGACTTTATGAAACAAATACAAAATCAAAGTCAGTATATAATATTTGAAATAAAAGTCTAATAAATTAGCTAAATCATGCTATTTAATTTTACCAATATTTTAAAACAACAGAAAATGTGATTTTCATAGAAAGCGCACAAAATGTCACATTAGTAAAAAATTTAAATTTTAGTAAAAAACAAGTAAAGTACGATTGTAACTAATAAAAAATTAAGAAGAAATTTAACTGTAAAGCATAAAATAAAGAACTGAAATTCAATAATTTATAATTTATTAAAAGAAACCACGATGACATACTTTGTAGGGTAGAGTAATGTAAGTGAGTGCTTTACTGTTTTAAATTCATTCCTGTAAACTATGAGAATTATCAGAATTGAATCTTATTCTCGTGTTTAACGCTTGAATAAAAGAAATTCAAGTTTTTTTAGAAGCTTATCGCTAAGTGATACATGGAAAAGTTCAAAAGTTTAAGAAATCGGTCATTATCAATAATTTAATTAATTTAAAGCATGTTAAAGAAATAATTTTCAGCTATAAAATCAGCTATACTTATACAAAACTGGTATAGAAGATGTCTGGCACGACTAGAAGCAAGACGACGGACTACGTGGAGTATATTTACAGCCTTGGAATATGTTGGAGAACAAGACCAACTGAAGGTGACTTAATTTTTTGAACTTTTAAATGAATTGGATCGTTTGTTGCAGTTGCATGATTTTTTCAGCAATATTATCGATGCTTTAACCGAAAACAGTGATAGCATAATCGGTTCCACGTCACTCATGCAAGGTAAGTTAAGTGTGCTAACAACTGCATGACTCTTAATTAGCTGTTATTGTTTATGAAGCAAAGCTTTCATGTTTTCTCATTTAAATTAAATTCTTTAACAAACTTCCTCGAAACTTTTATACAATTTTTTCTCGCCATTAAATTTTTCAGCTTAAATTATAAAAACTTAATTATAAATATTTGGAGTATTTTCACTCTTTTTGCACTTTATTAATACAAAAAGTTTTGAGTTTTCTCATTCATTTCTAAGCTTTTCATTAATATTCCGTGCAAAAAACTGATAAATTCTTTAAAATTATTAACCTTTTTACCAAAAATGCGTATTTGAAAAGCAAACTGTGCGAGCGAATGTTTCACGCGAATATTATAATGTTTTATATCTTTTTTTGAAGTTCTCAGCTGTCAGCTTTTGCATTTTTTGGTGCTTGTTTGAATAATCGTTCTTTCATATGTATATATGCTCATTGCTCTTTTCTGTTTTCTTATTTATTTGCGAGGCATATCTATCCTGAAATGCTTTTGTTTTTCAGCCCTTTCAAGGCACAGTTCGCCAACAAGTATGATACTTTTGATTGCTTCATTTCAGAGAACTTTCATTTCAATTCCATCATTTTTCTTTGCGCAAAAAGAGAGGGAAAAACCAAATATTCAGTAGAGCATTTACCATACAAATTAACAATATTTGATATCAAAGAGAAAAGTTTTAAGTAATAATATTTGTCTTGGAAGTGATCGTAATACTTTCAAAAACTGCAGCAAGTGAGGCCAAATACGAAAGAAAATTATTACAAATGACCCAGCCAGAACTCTTCAAAGTAGAAAAAACGTACAAAGGCCCAGTCCTCTCGTTCCCACTCAAAAAAATCCACGTAGAACGAATGATTGAATCGTTTAAAAACAACAAGGTGGTCTTAATTTAAGATGTATTGATGTAAATATTTTCAGTCTTTTAAAAGTAATTGAAAATCATCTCGTGATTTGGATATAACAAATGCTTAATTCCAAACAACTAACAGTTTACTCAAATGATAAAAAATGTATACGAAAAGTGAAAAAACGTAGTTTCTGAAAGTTTTTTGCAAACATTTCACTCGATTCCAATTCTGTATTTGAACTGTTAGCTTATTTCTGACAAAATTTTGCTTTGCACTCATAAATGTCAATGAGTCAAAAGTATTGCAATACAAAAAGAATTCAGATATTTTTTCAGATTATGCATATTAGATATATATTACTAATACTGAGGGAAGCACGACGGATATTTAAGACTCTGCCAACAGTTATTCAAATTTCAACTTCTCTATCTAAACAAATAACTATTTGTGGAGATTTGCACGGAAAATTTGACGATCTGATTATTATTCTTTACAAAGTCAGAAAAGCAGTATTCAGTACTTTTTGAAATTCACAAACTACATATAAATACTACATGCAAATAACATCGAAAGTAATTTAAGATTTTAAAAAATATGCTCAAAAATTAATTCTTATAAGTGTAATAGTGAAGAAAATGCAGCAAAAATTTTGAGCACTTAAAATTGATAAAAAACGAATGAAAATACAAGGAAAATACATAGAATGGTTACCCATCTATCGAGAATCCTTATTTATTCAACGGAGATTTTGTGGATCGAGGACCTCAGTCGATAGAAGTATTTGTGGTCCTCTGTGCCTTAATGATTCTGAATCCAACCTCAGTGATTTTGAATCGAGGAAATCATGAAGATCACATAATGAATTTACGTTATGGCTTTACTAAAGAGCTCATAACAAAATATAAGGTAGGTTAAATCTTTTAATTTTTAATTTCATTGCAGTCTATATTTTTTCTCATTGTTTCTTAAACTTACGTAACTTTGCTTTCATAAAATATAATTATGACTGATTGCAAATAAAATAGAATTATAAACCAATTTAATCATTATCGTTTAATAATTAATGATATTGCAAAATTTTCATTTTTTTTTGGCACAATTTTTTATTACTGGTACAATTTGTTTCCTGAATGTAAGAAGTAATCACTATACCACTAATCATATCATATAATAACAATAACAATAATAATAAGAAGAAGAAGAATACTAACAATACTAACAAATATAGTGCTATACTTAAAGGAACTAGTGTAATAAGAAATTAATTCTCTAAAGTAATCAAGAAAATGATTAATGCCATACTCTAAAAAAATTTAGGATTCTTCTAGTGCGCTGTTGAAATTGTTAGAAGACGTGTTTTCATGGCTACCTCTTGCAACAGTCATTGATAATAAAATATTTGTCACTCACGGAGGGATATCAAAAGATACAAATTTGGATGATTTGAGCAGTTTGCCGCGCCATCGAGTAAGCTGACAGACGTTTTACATAGAATGTGTTCCATAGCGATGTGACTTACGAAGTGATGTGCTTGTTGTGGATTTGAGTCAGAAATTAGACTACTAAAAAATCTTTTTTCGTATATTTTATTAAAAAATTTTCGTTTTTCGGCGGGCATAAATGTTTTGAAACGAAAATTGACAAAATTGTATGAGAAATAATTGATGCATTTAAAAATATTCAAGAAAAAATTTCGTTCAGACTCAAATTGACAAGTTTAAACAGGTGCTGATATTAATTGGTATGAGGCTGAATCTTCAAGCTTCCATCCGATTTTTGACTTTGGAAGAATGTCAAAGATCAAGGCTCCTTTGATAAAATCAAATTAGTTTTAGTACAGATCAGTGCTCAGGCCACCACTTTTTTCTAAAGTGGGCAAGAGCAAAAGTGAGGACTCTAAGGAATGGAAGCAACTTGTGGATGTATTGTGGAGTGACCCTAAAGCTCATCTTGGTTGTTCATCCAATGCATTTCGTGGTGGAGGATCATACTTTGGCCCTGACATCACGCAGAAATTTCTTGAAAAGTAAATTATGTTAATTACTTGACACTTTAGAGACCTCTACTTTCTTTCTTGCTATACATTGCACAGAACGGAGATTCGAAGCAATTTAAATGCAATTAATGATAAGTAAATTTGTGGCAAAAATCAACCAATTTCTGCATTTTTAGCATTTTTCATAAAGTTTGGTGCTGCTAAGTGTAGCCTTCAAGCTACTCTAGTAATGAAATTATTTAAAGTTTATAAAACGTACAAGTATTTAAAAGTAAAAAGCTGACGGCAAGAAGTTTGAGAACGAAGCTTCGAGGACTGAGCTATTTCACTAAATACTTTTACCACTGCGATAAATTCAATATAAGGATAAAACTCAAACGAAATACCGAACTAACGTTTCAAAATTAAAAGTTTTGAATTTATTTTTATATTTTCTGAAAATAATGCACATTTTATTCTCTATAAATTCAAAAATCTTCTAAAAGTATTAGAATGAAGAAATTTGAAAATTAATCCATGGGATTTAATGCTTATTACAGCTTTTTAAATACTTGCAGAATGCAACTATTAATAAGAATTAATAATTTAAGAATGAAATTTTTATTTTTAAATAACAAAAGGCATCACTTGGAAACGATTGTGCGATCACATGAATGCAAGTATGAAGGCTACGAGTGGACACATAACAACAAAGTACTAACAATATTTTCTGCATCAAATTACTACGAAATAGGTAGCAATCGAGGAGCATACGTGAAATTCATAGGTGTTGATCATCAGCCTCATTTTGTACAATATCAGGCTAGCAAAGCACATCAACGAGCGGTTGCAGCGAAAGAAAGGTTGACTGCTTGGATCAAGTTTAACCTTTCTTGCATATCGCTTAACAAGATTATAAGATGCATGTCAATAACACTTTCTGATTTCATAGTTTCGATTAAAAGAATTAAGATTTATCAATTAATGACACGTTCGTTAATCAAGTCGAATAACCTTTGAATAGATTTTTTAAAATAATATATTTTTGCAATGGAAAAAAACAGAAATAGCTGTAAATTTAGAATTGACAGAGTGGAACAGTCAGCAATTGAAAATCTGCGAGCGCAATTGTGCGCACTTAACAATGAATTGCAGCAAGAATATGCGTCAGCAGATCCAGAAAACACCGGTACGTATATCATCTGATCAATAGCCTTTCTTATTTGTCATTTCACAGAACATGAGTAATAAGTATCAGATTTCTAGTATGGACTTTAACTCTTGATCAATCATACAGAAACAAATCTTCTTTCAGACCTCTTTTTGGCTTTGTTTTGATTTAGCAAAGAGATGGTCAAATGACAGGAAACCACTGTTTTAAAAATCAAAACACTAGCTTAGATTAAATTTTCAAGTACGAAACCTCACTTTAATTCAGTCAAGAATTAATTCGACGCTATTTCAGTCACAATAATAAGGCAACTGTTACTAATTATTAATTAAAGAATTTTAAACTGATAGTGTAGTTTACTCTTATTTGTGTTTTGCACTGCTGTCTGGCTATAATGACATCTGTTTTTACTATGACACTAGATGTGGACTTGCCTGTGCCAGCTGAAACATTTGCAGCTTAAATTATTTATAGCAATAAGTCATTAAGATTAGTATTATCGTTATATAACGATAAAAACTATAATCCTTACTGCACTATCAAATTTTAAAATTTTAGAAGTTTTGATATATTTGCATAGTTCTAAAAGAGCAAAAGCTGCAACAAGCAATTTTTAAAAAGTATAAAAAGTAAGTACTCTTTAAGGTAAGATATCAGTTCACAAATGGTGCAGTTGCGTTGAAAAAGTCTCAAGACTGAAATTGCCATGGCATGCATTAGTCGCGCGACTGACAACTCTAACTGACGACGGCAAGAATGTAATGTACAAACAGTCTCCAGCAGCTGTACAGTTCCAAGGAGGAAAGAAAGGAACTGCGCAAGTCAGAAATTTTTTTATTACTTACATTCTAGTCAAAGTTCTTAACAAAATTTTATAGTTGACTTTCAGAAGAAATCAAGAAGTAAAACGACAAAAAGATATTAAGCAATCACATTTAAGTAATTTCAATAAATCGTTTGCATACATTATCATCAATTTTAATTATTAAAAATGAGAAAAATTACAGGAAAAATGTGATATTGTGGAAACATTATACAAACACAAAAGTACACTTGAGACATTATTTCGATTTATGGATAAGGTCGTAATTTTTAGAAACTTTGAATTATTTTTAGTTTAGACACTGATTTCATCCTTCAAAAAATTCCTGTAATATTTTGTTCAGTGTATTTAAATCAAAAAACTGATGTATGCTTGCGTTTATAGTAGAAGTTTCAGGATAATTCAGGTTTGGTATCACCTGATCAATTCTTAGACACATGCAAAATTCTTGGCCAGTATACTCGTAGTCCTCTAGAGGAAACAAATTTGGAACAGATAGCAGAAAGCATTGATTTTAACAAAGATGGTTACATCGACCTCAATGAACTATTAGAAGCATTTCGCTTGGTAGATTAAACATAAATTTATTTACTCGTATTTTTTTTACTATTGTAATACTGTAAAATGCTCAATACAATTCATTCTTTGATTGCTTTAGAATCAACTGAAAACGTGAATATTGCAGTAAAGGAAACGCTCAAATCACACAAAAAAATTTAGAATTCTGTAATGCAGTGTAAAACTCTTGAAACTGACAAGGAAAATTATAAAATAAAGTTTGTTTGAATCTCTGATCTCAGTGCTTCCTTGACATATGTTCATTTAACATCTCATTCATCACAACACTGACAAAAGGAACGACGAACAAATCTAAAAAGCAATTAATTTATTCACTTCGCTACAAAGTTTTTAATACCTGAAAAAAGGCCATCTGATCAATTGCACTACAAACAACTCAAAACAACCCATACTATATTAGCAAAATGTATGACAGCATGCAAACTGAAACATTAAAAAATCAAAAAATAATAACAATATAAAATGAAGCCAAAGAATGTTAGTCTCAATTTCAACTGAATCAATAGTATACTGGTAGATATTTCGTAAAATGCTCAATTAAGAGACGACAATTCTTTTGCAACACTATTTAACCTTTACGAGCAGAAATAACTGGATTTTGTACGTATAATAAATGTAATATTCAGAACAAATTCCCATTAGTCAACATGCGCAGAGATCTGTGAAATTAGAATACAACATGCAAATACTCTGAGATGAGACTGATTCCGTGAAATGAAATATCACTTCATGATAACACTGAATGCTTAGAATCTTTCATAAAACGTTTCACTGAACAGATAATTCCAGTCACGGACAGAACTTCCTTCGATACCTTTGCCAGTCAATTAAAGAAAAGCCGGTTTTGTGCTTCTGTTGATTTCTGCTGGCAATGATCAAAATTTTACAAGATCTGCTAGTTCTGGCAGCTTAATCCATAACAATCTTTCCTTAAGTCAATGTTTCAATAGCTGCAGCAGCTATGAAAGTCGTGAGGCATCCTTCAAGAATTCTTACTTCTCATTTTGTGCAGTCTACGCAATCATTCAAAGGTAGTGCGCATCACGCTTTGCCCGCAGAGATCAAAAATATGAAGTACAGAGGTACTCGCATATCGTTTATTATCTAAGCAGCGTAAAAACATTTGCGATGCGTAATAACTCAACATCTCTACCGATAATCTTAACGTTTTAGCACTTTTTTGAATTGTTACTTATGCAAGGGTCAGTAACCTCTTCACTTGATATGAGGAAAGTCGCAGGTTGTTTCCAAACCTGAAATGCATTCATTTTTTAATGGCAGCTTCTGATAAGTAAAATGTTTAATATGTCTCCCAGTCTCGCTTCGTTTGCTGTTAAGTCTTTAGTCTTCATTTTCCACCGGATTTCAAGTTTCGTTTTTACTAAATATCTTCAGAAGGATGATTCGACTTCCCAAATTAGTTAGCTATTTCCTTCTAAATTTTCATGTTGAAATTTGTTGTTCGAGACTTGTGCTCGAGAATACTTCAAATTTTCATGTTAAAAAAATTTGAAGTTTTCTCTAGCGCGAGTCCTTTTTAAAATGCCATTTATTCACACTTATGCTCTATGTGCAGAAAGTACTTTTTAAATAGCTGCTTACAGTTTTCTGTTATGATTTTTGCTTTTTACGGAAAATGTATTTTTTGTTCGAAAGCAAATCTAAATATTTCAATTTTTAAACCACAGATTCATAAAGTTTCGTTGTGTGAGGAAGTATTTAAATCCATGAATTACTCTTGCATTCGCCTCAAATGTTTTCAGCATTTATCACATTTAGCGACTTCTTTGTTCACAAACAATGGAAGTAATGCAGCATCGAACGCTACTCTATATGAGAGCATTACTTGTCACACCAAAGTTTATGAAAGGTCATTCGAAATGGGATAATATCAAAGACACCAAGGTTAAAATGCTTTCTGTTCCAGATAACCTTTATACACTTTATGTAACTTTTTAAGATAACTCACCAAATATATGTTTTTACTTCCATATAAAAACGTAAGAATATAGTTTGTGTTGAAACTGTTTGTTTTCTAAACTTTAAGCAGCTCTATTGAGATTATTCAGTTAAAAAGCTTACCCTTTCATTTCTGATCGTTATTCTGCATTTATGGCTTCGATAATAGTTTGCAGCGATGGTTCACAAAACAAAAGTATCGGAGCAGTTAATGATGAAAATGAAAAGGGTTGTACGCGCAGGTGGACCTGATCCGAAATTTAACAAGGATTTAGTGCAACTGCAACTAGAATATAGAAATGCAAACTTCTCCGATGATAACTTCCAACGAGCATTAAAAAACGTGCAAGTATGATTCTTGGAAATTTTCGCAAATACTAGAAATTAAGAGTTAAAGAATGCTTGACTCGGTTAGTGATAAATTTCATTCTATTTGCTTTTATCTCGTAATTTCGCTTTTCTCAGTTTGAGCTCTTCATTATAAAGTTTTATGAGTATTACAGGGATTATTTTAATTGGTAGTATTAAAACTTCAAATATATTTAACATTTAGTTTTTTTTGTCGTGATATTTTAGATGCAGCAAGTCAAAACAGCATCAAGTAGCATACGTGGGCCTTTAGGATCGATTTTCGTTGTTGAAGCAGAAGGCTTATCTCTTAAAAAACTAAATGATTTCTTATCCACAGTTTTAAATAAGGTATTTTGTACATTAGAACTATCAACTTTTAAATAGGAATGGATTTATCTCAAAGCTGCTGAATTGCAGAATCTTAAAGTGCAAATATAAATAGATTTTGGAAACGAGTGTATGTATGTGTAAGAAAAGATTTAGATTGATATGGAGTTCCAAGTATCGAAGAACGACTATAGCAGAAACTTTGAAGATAAAGGCGTCATTATTGTTACCGCTAGCAAACGGGACAAAGCTTTATTATTAGATGAGGTTACTCTTCTTTTAATCGTGATAAAAATTCAATAGCTAAGGGTTTAGTTTACGTAAAACCTTCTTTCCATACTCATTAATTGGTATTTGCGATGTTATGTCTTGCTTAAATTAAAATTATCTATAGAAGTTATGCTGAATTAATTTTGACTATAGCTTTCAGCGATAACACTGTTCTGTGTTTTTATTTTTGTATTTTTATGTATGAGCATTTTTTCTCATGAACTTTTTATTCAGATGGAAGAAGTGTGTATAGAATTAGATTGCGATGATGTGAACAGATTTGAAGAAAACGGAGAAACGTTTTACGAACTGGTATGTGAACGGAGTAAATTTATGAAAATTCTTAATGATATCGGGAAACTAGGCTTCAATGTTAAGCACTCAGCTTTGGAACGGCGTGCTATCGATGCGATCGAAGTTGGAAGTGATGAAGCCGAAAAGGTATTGTTTTGTATCTCTTTTATTTTGAACTTGATTTCACTGAAATAATATATTACTATTCTGACTTTGAATCTTGTCTACCGTTTTTACACTGTGCTATTTAGAATCGTCCATGATTCGTAATGTAATGGTTCTTTCGCATTCCATATTTCTTGTTGATATAGTTTTTGCAGATTACTCAGTTATACCAAGCGCTACGAGAAAATGAAAATATTACGTCTGTTTACGCAAATATTAGGACAAATTTGGTACCAATAAGACCTACAAAATTAAAAATTATGCAATAAAGGTTTTCTATGTGCTCATAATTTCAAATTAATATGTTTTCTGCTATTATGCAATAAATGTGATAATTGTGCAAAACTGCTTTTTTTTTGCATATGCGATTGTAGAGTGCATAAATGTTATGACAAACGTTTTCAGTGCATTAATATGAACTTTAAAGCACGATAATTTGGAAAATTGAATCACCACAGATTTTATGAATTATGAACAATAAATTACAAACTTTTGGACTGTTTAATGACCTAAAATTTTGTAACAGGTCTTATAGTAATTCAAAATTTTTCTTGTTAATGTTCTTTACTATTGCAGTGCTATTTTTTCATTTGATTTTCAGATTTGTCATTGAAATAAAGAAATTAGTTAGCAAAGTATTTACTTATCAATACAAAACATTTTGTTTTACGAAAGCAATTTTGGATACAAAAAATGAGTATGAGACTTTTAAGTTTATGAGTATTTATAACGGTAGAACGGTTCTCAGCAGTGAGAAATGGGTGAGGAACAGTTTGAGGAGTATATAATTATTAAATTTTCCAAATGAAATCAATATTCGTGCTCTTAGTGAATATTCCATGAATTCACCAGAGTGGTACGTTGGATAGAATTAGTGAATGAAATGCAACGTATCTGTAGGTGTACTGATATTTTCTTGGTCAGGAAAACCACAGAAGCACGCACGTAGGGTACCACCGTCAAGTGATCCACGGCAAAAGCAAGAGCGCACTTTACGATGGTTGTCCTTCCAACACGCAGCACGGCAGGACTCCATAATGCATCTATCAAAACTCCCGAAATTGCTAAAATAAATTGGTTTGAGTATGCGTTTGATTCCGCTGTTTTTTTCGCAGATTTCAAAAAAGAAGACTATAGGCATCAGAATGTACTACAAGGATTTAATTTCAGCAAATTAATATTAGTTAAAATGTATGCAGTGTTGTGGAAGAGTAGGTAGTTTTTGTAAATAACTTTGAAAGCAATTCTTTGAAAATTTGTTTCAAGCTCTCTTAAAATTATAATCATCAGAAATTTTGCTTCACCATTTCTTAAATTAATTTTTCTCTTTATTTATTAACATCCTTGATATTGGTTAAATATGAATTCTGAAAAATATTTAGTGAAGCAAAATTTCTGATTTAGACATCAATTTTAGTTTTTCAGATTAGTGCTCATAGTTTGTACAGATTTGGATATTAATAAGTTGTGAGCAAATGATTTGCAGATTCTATTATAAACAGTATAACTGTATTAATTAAAGCAGTAACTTACCAAGGAAGAGTTAGATGTGGACTGCAACCTGCCTTACAACTTTGAAAACTTTTAGGATTTCTTATTAATGCTGAAGTAAGCGTTTGATTTACAAATAGTGTGATAATAACTTTCAGGAGCAAATTGCTTTTACTGCTAGTTGTCGAATTCATTATTGCAGCTTCAGATTATTCTGTAAAATTCTCCAAGATTGAGTTTATTTCTTAAGAATGTTTTCAAATTCAAAATTTAACTAGAAAAAAAAAGATTTCTGGGAATTAGCTAAAAAGCGATCACGTCTAAATGTATTTTTTCAAGGTAAATAACCAAATTGAATGAAATAGAAATTAGAAGTAGCTCGTGAATAAAAGTTCATGGAAGTTCACTTTCAGAGAAAAGGAAGTTTCTGCGCAGTAGCATGAACAGGTTAGTTTTTGTGATCCTCAAGTGCCATTCATCTTGTGATCGCTCTCGAGAACGAGTTCTTAATCTCATTTCCTCCTCCTTTAATGCATTTCAGGTTTTCATTTTTACAACATCTACTTCAATTTTATTGTATTATTGTAAAGTTAACTTATTCACTTTGCTCATGTCTTATTATACAAATTTGTGATTTTGAACCAGTAAACGGAATAACACTGATCCAAAATAAGTGTTATTGAATGATTTTCTAATCTAAAATCAAGAAGCATCCTGATTTATAAGTCACACTAATTTGAAATAATAATGTATTTTCATTGTGTGTGTACCAATTTTGTGAATTTCTGATGTATTATAATTAGACAGGTTTATGTGCTGGTGAACTTCAGTGGTTTCATCTGCAAGTATTGTATCAAGTAATAATCAGACCTTATGATCAGTTCAAAATTACTCATGTTAATCGACACATAAAGATTTGAGTTTAAAAGTATTATTTATGTTGGCAATTTTTTATAAAATTTTGAAATTAATGCAACTTAAAGCTGTGACTTCTTTAATTTTATTATGCAATATATTTTTATTCATTTTGCGAGTATTTATCCTTCAGTAAGTTAACGTAAGTTTGACAGTTATTCAGTTTATAGCAGTGAAATCATTCTTTGTTGAGGACTTCAAGAAAATGCTAGCAAACTTTTGAAGTCTGAAAGTTTTAACTTTTTAGTTTGCAGTGTTAAAATTATGAAGGTAGTTTTTCGAAGATTGGTCCAGATAACATCAATGGTTGTTCTCACGTGCTTGCATTGAAAACAAACGCTGGCAAAGTTTATTCAGAAAATTATTTGCAAGTAAATCACAAGTTCAAAAATGAAAAGTGATATCAATCAAACACGTTTATCCATTTTTGAAAAATATATCGTCCAATATCTGCAAAAGTATATTATTTGGGTGGTTGCATTTTTTCATATTTAGAGTGCTATTAGTTATATATCAAAGTGTATGCTACCATGCTATTATTACAACCAAATTTTAGCAAAGGCAATTGCTGCACTGACATTATCACTAATACTGTCACTGAAATCGTAGTTTGCACCACTATTAATCAAATAATGATTATTCTTATTTGAATACTGGTTTTTTTTACTAGACGAGTGCGCAATGTTTGTCAAGGAAAGATATTACTGGTTGTTATTTTCTGAAGCTAATGTAACATGATTTGAAATGATTAAATTAACCCCTACTTCATAGTTATTTTATAATATTATTAACTTTTAGTCACTGGACGAATTTCTAAAAAAGATTACTATGCTTTTATTAAACTGAATGCTTTGTAGTCAAGTCTATTGGTTGAGTGATTTTTTTGGTTCACTAAGTAAAGAAACATAAATTACTTACATAACATTAAAAAAAAGGAACGTGAGGGGAAACAAAATCATCGAATAACGATCAATCTAAAAACGTGTGATAGTCAGATAACATTTAGCTTTTATCGTTAGATTAAACAGTTGTAAAGGTTAGTTGGAAGTTTGCAAGTTGATGAACAAAACTAAAATGTAATGCCTCCCGGTGTTGCCTGAATGAACAAAAAACTGTATTCATGTAATCTTTGAATCAAATGAAAGAGTGACTTTAGTTAATTGATGCATTCTAAGAACAAATGGTGATCTATCAAGAAAAAGCTTTTAGAAGAAAGAACCAATCTTTAAAAACGAATCCTCTAGATTAATTCTGCTAGCTGTCTAAATTTTAGTACTGCTAGAGAAACTCAGAAAATTAATTCTTGGATAATAATAGTATTTGGGCACCTTTTTGTTCCAATGAATAAATTAAAGGGAAAAAATAATCATATATATGTTTGAAAAATTGCTCTTGACTATAGTTTTTTCCAATGGAAATGGGTGGATTTGTGAAAATCCAAGTTGCCTTTTTAAGAATGAGTTTCGGGTCTTAATACATTACATAATGTAATATAATATAATATATAATATAACGTAATGTAATATAATATAATATAATATAATATAATATAATATAATATAA